GTACCTGCACCGGGGATTAAGTGCCCGCGGGGACCAGCGCGTAAATGCGGAGCAGGGTGCTCCCGCCCCGCGACCATTTGGGCCCACTTGCGACGCGGCCGAGGGGTGGCCCCGCTCCGCAATACTTTGTGCCCACTTGCGATGCGCCGCTTGGCCAAGGCAAGCCCCATGCCTAAGCGTTACGCGGAGCGATAGCGAAGCGCAACGCTGCACGGATCAGACAATTAGTGACTTCATGTATTGAGTTAGGTTTGTTAATCTAGGTTTGATTCATTTTAGTTTTCAAACCAACTGTTTTCAAATGTAGTAGTAGCATTACTGACTTCATGTATTGAGTTAGGTTGTTAGTTTAAGTTTGCTCCATTTTATTGTTAAAAACTAATTCGCTTCAAGATAATACCATTACTGATCGTTCTGTATTGAATTAGGTTTGTTAGTTTAGGCTTGCTTCTTTTTATTTATTGGTTTTAAAGTTATAAGTTTATAGTTATAGCCCGCCCAGACCGCCTTTGCATAGCCAACTTAAATATTCATAGAATTTTTTTAGTAAAATTGCGGAGCAGCTGTCCAAACGTCCTGTCCAACACGGATAAATTACGCCTGTTGTAGAGTGCAACAATTTCCCACCCCAGTTCGTCTGCTCCGAGAGCGTCCTGATAGCAGGCAACTGACGCGGCCCATCGCAAGTGGGCACAAATCGCTACAGAGCGGGCCGCGTCGAATGTACCCGCTTAGGGACCGGCCCCCGAGCAGCGCGTCGCAAGTGATACCTTTCGGGGAGAGACTCAGGTAGCCACATCGCAACTGGGCTACGGCCGTACCGTATTCTAGTAACCCGGCCGCGGGCGCCGCAGTGGTCGGATGAGAGTCAACTAACGTGCCTAACGCGCCTACCTGCGGCCCGGGGCGTCCATCCCTCCCGCCGGCCACCCCTGCTCAGCTTAGCTCGGTCAGGCTAGTACTTTCCCACCGTAGCGCAGCAGGAGAAGGTGGGCTAATTGCAATTAGAAACAATCACACACAATCTAAAACTATCGACACAATCACACACAATCGGACACAATCACACACAATCGGACACAATCATGACACAATTTTTAAAATTATGTCCCAATATTCACTCAACAATGTGAAACAATCAGAGACAATCAGAGACACAATCATACACAATCACATACAATCACACACAATCTGAAACAATGATTGTCTAGACCCAATCATGTGTACACTTTTTTGACCAGTTCCACACCCCTCGGGTTTTGACCGAACCGCTGTTTTGTCCGAACCGCTGTTTTGTCCGAACCGCTGTTTTAACCCGACCCCCTCTGCTTCCCTAGATATGTTTGTGATCCAGTAGCAGACAATGTTCATTACGTTTTATGCAGTCGGCAGGGTTCAAAGCGCTGGGCTATAATGGCAACACTCCTTGAGAAATATGAGAATTTTACTGGTACGGGAGTCGTGGCATCCGACGGGCGGAAGTAATCCCCTTTCATTGCTGAGGACGACGAGGAACAGAAGACAAACCTTAAGAAATCCGTAGCGGAGGAATTCGTTGCTCTCGGTTTGAGGTGAGTTACCTTTGTACAGTGTAGTGTAACGTTCCACTGATACTAACCACTATGTTGATATGCCCCCCGCCCCTCCCTCGTCTGTTCCATTTGTTCTTACCTGAAGTCGGGTCAAGCAGGCAGGGGGTGGAGGAAAGAGAAAGGGGGGGGGGGGATCAACCAAGCACGAGCAACAATTTAAAGTGTTACGTGTTAACTTGTTCCCTTTTGTCTGCAGCTGATCCCTCCTGCACCGGCAGCCGTCGTCAGGAGCAGAAACCCCGTTGACCTCCTCCAGTGGTGACCAATCACAAACACTTGCCCCATAAAAGACAGCAAGTCCCTGGTCTGGCCTCAGTTTTCGACACCTCACTAATGACGAGTGTACTCGAGCGTTCTCGACACCAGTCCGATATCGTATCAATATATCAAAATCTTCATATCGCACATTCCTAGATACGGGTTACGCACTCGGCGAGCAGAGTTTTCAACTCAAGACTCATGGTGTTGCACCGTGGCCAGGAGAAAAAAAAAGCTGAAGGTCGGCTTTTTACTGTGGGAAAGCAAAATTTACCTGACTCGGGACTAACACTTACCTGGTTTTAACCGCCACTTTATTGCACAAGTTCATCTACCCAACTTTAACATGATATACTTGAACACTTAACAAACAAGTATCTCAAATTAAGCTGATGAGAGATCAGTATCAATATTAAGCTCGATTCATTTATATTGATTCAGGTATCTGTCAGGTCATCACTAACTGATTTAAAGTAATATTTTGCTGATGTTTTGGTGATATTTATCTTATCTCTTTACCATGTTTACTCAGCGATGGATCGACCCGTACGAAAAAGTTTAGTCCGGCATCAGTCCGTTTTCGGTCCGCAAAGAGTCCGGCTGGACAGTCCGTCATCAGTCCGCCAAAGCGAGCGGACTAGTCCGCGAAAAAAGCCAGATCGACCAAAAAACGACCTATTTGCCGGACTAGTCCGGCTGGAACTAGTCC